AATAGTTAATAATTAGTGGTGTCAACAGCTTGTTGTGATTTTTAACTTTTGTGCAAATTTTTTATAGTAAATAATACATTAATTTTTTTATGAATTGTACATAGCGTTACGAAAAATTTAGAAAGGGTACACAAAACTCATAAGTTTGGGAAACACTAAATTAGGGTATTGGCGCCCTTATCCCTGTTCGTCGATTTGAAAATCCTCTGCATTGCAATTTATATTGACATGATTTAAATGCAGCACAATGTGATCTGCATTTCGTGTGATGTAATAATCCCATATCATGATCTGCATTTGTGTGATTTAAAAATCAAGCATGTGATCTATATTAGTGCAAATTTATAATCCCACATCGCTAATCGCATTCACGTGATTTAAAAACTGCGCAGCACGATCCATACTTACTTGATTTAAAAATTGCACTAAGTGATCCATATTCATGTTATTTAAAAATCTTTAATCAGGATTTGGATTTTTAGAAATCTGATTCGTATTTGTGTCATTTAGAAATCGCACATCGTTATTTATATTCACTTGATTTAAAAATCACATAGGGCAATCCCTGTTTCTGCAATTTAAATACCACATATCTGGATCTGTATCTATGCGGTTTAAAAAGTATCACATCGTAATTAGTATTAGTGCGCTTCAAAAATCACACAGTGCGATCCATGTTTGGGTGATTTAAAAAAAATCACACATTGTGATTTATATTCACGTGATTCAAAAATCACACACCTGAAACCAAATTCTTGCAATTTAAAGTATAACGCAACATGATCAAAATCACACATCAATGTTTTTAATCACTATGTTTTTTAAATCTCTCATCATGGTCTATCATATAAACAAAATTTATTATCCTATGTGAAATGTTTAAAACTAAAATTTTTGTTAGACTAATTTTTGACGTTAATATTTTTTCCTGTCTATGATTTAAAAAGTATATATATATATATATATATATATATATATATTTAGAATTTTATATTTAGCAGTTTTGTATGATATAAATAAATGATAAAAAGAAAGCACACTAAATCAAGAATAGATAGTTTGAAGTTTTTGGGTTTAATTATAAGAGTGTTCTTGTATCTAATACCATATAACTTAATAAACATGTAATTAATATATTTTATTTTTTACATGTATTTATATTAAAAATAAATTTTTTTTATATTAAAACGAAAAATATATTAAGCAAAAATGGTTTTAGCCTAATAAATATTTTAGTGAAACCTAATTTTACAAATGATTTCTGTTTGAAAAATTTTGAAGTTAATACTTTTGTTTCTATTTTAAATGTTTTTTTATTTATTCTGTTATTTATTCTTTTTAATTATTTTGAATTTTTCTATATATATCTTACATAAAAAACTTTTATTTATCTTTTTATGTTATTCCTTTTCTGTAAACCCTTTTCTAAATTTGTTATTCAAAACAAAACACTCTTTCTCACACTCACATTCACATCCTGTCTATTAATCTATTTTTTTTGTTCAAGTATGCGTTAATTAAAAGTAAGACATTTTCCCCTTTGCTTTTTTTTGGAACCGCCCGACCTATTTAATAAACCAATTATAATTATTAATGTTTTCCTTTTTCCCTGAAATCACTAAAATTGAGGGAAATACATATGCTACTTTCCTTAGGATAAAAACTAAATCACACAGATTTTGGAGCTCAATTTGAGCTCCGTCAATGCTAGAAAGTGATCTGAATACTAAAAATATTTTTTTCCTTCCAACTGCTGTCTGCCTGTCTGAACATTCAACTTTGACTGCTAATATCACAACATATATATTTATTGTAATTTGATAATGTACATGGAATGATGTTGATACTTTTGTTTCTATTAAATTAAATTAACATAATCTCTAAAATTGACCTTTTGAAAATAGCCTATTTTAATTTTTATTAGATTAAAAAATTTTAGCTTTGGAAAGGCTAGTGTGTATGTTTGTTGCCTTCAACTGCTGGGTTATTTTTTACAATTTGTTTAATAGTTCAGTTCTTTTCTATTGGTTTTTTTAAAATTGGTTTATTAAAAAATGTGCAAAGCATTTCTCATATAAAACAATGTTGTTTTTAAGAAAGAAACTCATTACAATCTTCTTATGACTATATTGAGTTATAAAGTATTAACTTGTGTAAGTCATGGAAAGTGTTTGGTGGAAGTCATGAAAAATAATAGAAAGTCATGGATTTGAAAAGTCTAGATATAGCAGATACCCTGTACATAATGAAGCTACTTCTAATAATCGTAATCAGTTTAATGCTTTTCTTTCTTTTTTTCTGTAATTTTTAGTTTATTTTGGTTCAGAACTCCTTTTTTAAATTAATTAAAATATTTTTAACTATCAATAATAAATTGCTTGTCTATCAATAACTGTCACATACCTGTCATGTCACCTGATTTTTAATGGAGACTCCTGTATTTTATGACTGTCTCCTGTTTACCTGTATATTCTCAAATTTTTCCATATTTGTAAAAGAAATTTTAAAAAATGAATATGGTGATAATATATCCGCTAATGTCAAAAATATTTCTCTTATTCCTTAACAGATAGTGTATGAGTGCTATTGCCAGTGATGCAGTATGTTGAGTGTTAATAGTTAAAGTAATTACAAATAAGGATTTAAAAAAATATTTTTTGGATTAATATTTATATGCATATATTTTTACTTTGCTAATGTAAGTGCTTATATTATTTTCAATTTTGAATTATGCATGATGTACATGATTATGCATGATGTATCAAAACTTTACTCGTAGCCTAAAACAATGTCGCTAGTAAAATCTGTTATTTTATTTCTCCATTGTTGGCAGGTATGCTATCAGCCTTCCCTGTTGCAGCTATGATAATATAAAATTAATTATTTAATTTAAATTGAAGGGAAATCCATATTTGAATTCATTTTCAAGCTAGCTCTTAACAATTTTTTTATGCTTCCAATGAATAAATAAAAATATAAGTTCTTCGTCGGCAAGAATTTGAACAAATTAGTGGTATAATTTAAAGTCTATTTTATTGAAAACATTAAACGTTTTTTTTTTTAAATTTCCTGATAACCTGATAAACATGCCTCTTTTTAAAGGAGTTGAAAAATGTTTGTCTAGGCCAAGTGGGATGTAAGCTAGGAAAGGTTGGGAACCTATGGTCTACAACAAAATAAAATTCTTTTTTTTTTGTAATTGTTACTTATTTTATTTATGAATTGTTTATGGCACTTAAGTAATCCATTGTCTTATTAACTAATAAGTTGAACTTATAATTATTTTAATGCTTATAATTTTCTAATATGTATTCCAGGTGGTTATCATCGGCCCCCGAGCTCTGTAGGCTTGCATAATTACGGAAATCAACCGCAAAACAACTATCCTGGTCCTTCATATCCTAATACGTCACAAATGCCACCTCACCGATTACCTGGTTCTACGTCCTCCAATTATGGCACTCCACCTAGTACCGGAGGAGGCTACAACAGTGCACAGTATTCTAATGCTCCTGCCAGTGGATATGGTGCAAACAGTATGATGCCACCACCTAACCAGTACCCAAAGTCCTCATCTAACATGCCTCCTCCCACAGCAGGCGGAGCTCAAGCTGCAGCGCAAGCAGCTGTGATTGCTGCTGCGGCCTCTTCCTCCACTACTCGCCAATCACCCATGTATCTACGACAACATTTGCAGCAAAAAATCTACAATAGTTACAACTCTGCCATCAGTCCTGTGCCACCAGGTTCTGCCCAGGATAGTCCTATGCCTCCACCTTCAAGCACACCTTCATCTCAATCAATGGGATCCATTCCTTCATCTTCAAACTGTGAGGGATCATCCATTCCTTCTTCGATGGCTGCTTTTCCTCCTGTCTCCTCTTCTGCAATGGGTTAGTAACATTCCCTTCTTGATCAAATTCATTTGTCGAAGAACCAGAGTTGCAAAAAAACCCCGGTTTTTCAGGATTTTATTAGGCTTTTCTGGGTTTTTCATGTTTTATTGAGTTTTTTTTTTTTCCGAAAGAGAGAGCAGGGAGCTTTTATTAATATTAATTAATACAAATAAATTGCTGAAAAAAGTTTTTTCTGACATCACTATGCAAAATGTTATATGTACTCACATACATCACACATTTGTAACTTATTTTAACACTAAATTACTTTTATTTATATTTTAATCTTAATAAATATTTCAGGATTTTTTTTTTTTTTTNAAAAAAAAATTTTTTTTTTTTTTTTTTTTTTTTTTTTGCTGCATAGAAATTGAATTAAAGGCAGTGACTAATCAATGACCATGCAGTTAAATCTAGCTAACAAATGTGAATCTCCAGATTATTTTTCTTTTCAGATTGTTGTTAGTTTTTTCACCATAGGCTCATTTTTTTAGACTAGACTACATATATATTTCAGTAGAATAGCTCTTTAATAAACAGAGGATAAAAAAGAAATCAATTTTAGAAAAACACATTATAACCCCCCCCCC